GGGGATACAGGTGGTGGTGGTGGTAGTGGGGATGGGGTTGCCATTGTTGTTGGTGGGGTGGGAGTGTTGCTGGTGGTGGTGGGGGTGGTGGTGATGGGGGTGCTGGTGGTGGTGGTGAATTCAGGGGGTGGGGGGATGCAGGTGGTGGTGGTGGTAGGCTGGTCAGGAAAGGAAAGTCTGAAGAGCATTGCATATCAGGAAAACCTATGAGCAGCTAAATACGCTTTTCCCCTTCAAGCATATTTCTTTATTTTGCAAAGCAATATTGATTCTTTTAATACAAATGAAGTTTATATGCAATTTAGTCTATGCATAATGTGGTAAGTTTATCATATAAACATCATCTTTAACTGATTGCTACTCAACCTAATTCTCCTTCCCCCTTTATTTCCTGGAGAGAATTTCCTCCTCAGTATTTTTATTGGTCAAAAATCCACACAAAGACTAACTTTAGCAAGATGATGAAGGAAATGCCCTGAACCTTCCACTCCCCCACAAATAAATGGGTTTAGCAGTAACGAAGGAGCAGATCCTCCTTGTGAATTGCTCAGCTCTCCTTTGTCTAAGGAAGTTCTGTCCTTCATTTTGAAGGACAACTGACTGACAGAAGCTGAAGGGATCCATCCATAGGAAGTCCCTGAAGTTGAAATGAGGGGCTACTAAACAACATGATGACCTAAGAAAGTATGGAATGCACTGGTCAAGGTAAGTAGGTAGACAAATACAATATACTGTTTTATTGTAACATTGGTAGGATACTCACTTTCAATTTTGGTATAAAAGTTAAGGACAAAAGAATTAAAATGCACAAGATTCAAGATGGTAGATTGAATTTTTTTTGTTGTGTATGTGTGCATATGCACACATGTATGTGTAGGCCAGAGGTCCACTGCCTGTGTCTTCTTCAATTGTTCCCCACCCTATAGGTTGGAGAGGATGACCAGGAAGTAAAAAGAAGAAAGGCTGAGGTCAGCAGACATCTTGAAGAGTGAAGGCCTTTTGGATTTTAGTTACTGAGCTCACTGATCAGGTAGGTGAAAGGCCAGCAAGAAGGAAAGCCTACAATGGAACCAGTGGCTTATGGCTGTGCAGGCATTTATTTGGTGGAGGGGTGACCTTGAGGGGAGTTTCTGTGGGAATCAGAGCCTGATGTTGGCTTATGAGCTGGGGTAGAAGGTGGGGAGGAGAAGGAGGTGGGAAAACTTCCTTTTTTTGGCCTGAAATTGGGGAGAGTAACCAAACCGTGATGAGCAGTGAGTGACAGAATGTTCAGGTGGGTCAGTTGTTGTCTGGGTTCTGGGTGGTAGCAGGAATCTAGGAAAACAAATTAATGCCAATTATGTTGTTTCAAAGGAATTGTCACTACCTAAGCCATCATGAAAGCATAGGGAAAATAATTAACTGTGTCAGAAATGTAGATGAGCACATGAGGACCAGGAAAGAATCAAATATTAAGCTTTTGATCTCTAAAATTAGCAGGGGAGAAAGAAATGAATGTGGATTATTCAAAACAACCATAATAAAAAAATCCCCAAATAACAGGAAGTAGTGCATGCCTTTCAATAGTAACCCCAAATGTAAATTTGTCCAACTAAAGGATACAGACTGGCTAACTGGATGTAAAACAAGACCCAACAATTTACTGACTGTAAGAAACACAACTCACCAGCAAAGACAAGCTGAAAGAGGGTCACACTGAAAGTGAAAGAATGTAAAATTATATCCTTTTTAGTTTTTTAAAGATTTATGTTATTGTTTTTAATGATATGCATGTGTATGAGTCCTTTGTATGAATGTGTGCATGTGAGTGCCTGTGCCCACTGAGACCAGAGGTGTTAAATCCTCCAAGCTGGAGTTACAGGAAACTATGGACCACCTGATATGGGGACTGGGAGTTGAACTTTGGTGCTCTGTAAGAACCATCTCTCCAGCCTCTGGAAAATAATGTCATAAATAAATGAACTCCAAAGGCAAGCAAGAGTAGATATACTTCTACCTGGCAATAATGACAGCAAGGCACAATATATCAGAAGACATGAAGACTCAGTACATACTGGTGAAAGGAATAGTCCAGGAAGAATATATACAGAGTATAAATAAATGCACACCAAATATCAGAGCTCCCAACTTTATAGAAGATATTGGACAAAAATGAGAAGAGGTAGTGTCAAATACCATAGCAGTGGGTTTCTTCAATACCCAGCTCTCACTAACAGATCATACCAATAACAAGCCCGCACAGGAATATCAAACTTAAACTAAACCATGCAAAATATGGACCTAATTGAATCTACAGGATATCCCATCCAACAGCTGTAGAAAATGCATTCTTTTCATTATCTGATGGCACTTTCTTCAAGATAGATAAATCTACAGACCATAAAGCTTGTCTTTGCAAACTAAAAAGAGAAATCCTGCATCTTATCAGATCATAGTAGAAGGAAGCCGGAAATCAACAAGAAAACACACAAAGAAGGAGTCCTATGAAAGAGTTCTCTGGATATGACATGACCATTGCAATCATAAACACAAGAGCAGCTGTGGCTGCCTGCAGATGACCTGCACAAAACAAACCAACCAAAGCCATGAGGGTGGCAAGGGGACTAGTTTGGAAGAAGGGGTTGGGCTTAACTGAGAAAGGGAGGAGAGGAGTGTAAATATCACAATGCATCGGAGACATATATGAAATCGTTAATGAGAAAAAAAGATAACTCAATCACATACACACAAAAATATCACAGTAATTCGAAAGCCATATATGAAAAGCCCTGACTCATACTCAACAGTGAAAAACTGGAAGCTTTTTCTCTGAGATCAGGAGGAGGGAAGGGATGCCTGTTCTCAGCATTTGCATTCAACACAATACTGGAAATCCTAGCTAGAACAATTAAGAAAGAAGAAATAAAAGGCATCTAAATTACAAAGGAAGAAATAAAAGTGTCTCTGTTTGAAAACATTATATACTTGTAAAACCCTAAAGACTCCATTAAAAAACCAAAAATAACCGCTGGGAACCAGTAAGCGACTTCAGACAGTTGCAGGATCCAAAACCAACATATAAAATCAGTTGCACTTGTATACTAAAATGCATCAAAATGAATTGTCTTAAAAGGGAATTAGGAAAACATTCTACTCTACAATAGTGCTCAAAAGCATAAAATACCTGGAATAGACTAAGGAAGTGGATACTTATATACTAAGACTATAAAGTATTGATGAAATTGAAGGAGACACATACCTTGAAGCAAAGTGTCCTGTGTTCCTGGACTGGAAGACTTACTATTACCAAAATGCCCAAGCTACCCACCGTAATGAGCAGATCCAGTACAATCCATATAAAATTTTGATGGAATTCAGATAAAAGTAGAAAAAAAAAAGCCTTGTAATTCATACAGAATCAAGAGGCTAAAAATTTCCAACTTGTTTTTGAGAAAGAAGAACAAAGCTAGAGATATGTTTAAAAATACGTCACACACTGACAGCAGCCAACAGCCTGGAATCCTGTAAAGATGACATGTAGGCCAGGGGAAAAAAGAGAGTTCTCAGAAGCGGGTCTACACACACCCAGTCAACTGCTCGTCAGCAGTGGTATCAGGGACACACAATCGTGAGAGGAGAGTTTCAACAAATGGTATTGGGAAACTACGTCCTCAAGCAAAAACACACTAGCCCTTATATTTATACCACACAAAATTAGCTCAAAGGGAGTAAAAACCAGCCTAAGACCTGAAACTTGGGAGTCCACTAGAGGAAACTGAGGAGAAGCTTCTAAATGCTGGCCTGGCAACTGAGTTCATGGATCTAAAAATAAAAGCACAAATTAGAGAAAAGAAAGCAAGTGGGGTTAGATCAAAGGAAACGTTCTACACAGTGAAAGAAACAGTCAATAGGGAGAAGAGATAGTTCATAGACTGGAAGAAGAGATCTACAAACCACACATCAAAAACTCCATGACCCTGTGACATGAACTTATCTCCAAAATTCATACTTCAGAATCCACAATTGAGTTATGGAAAAGTGTAGCAAAAAAGTTTTCTAATGTTTTAAGTAAGTCTATGATTTTTGTGTTGTGCTGCATTCATAGACCATACTCTAGGGTGCACGCAGCCACATGTATCCTGTGGGCCTCGGGTTGGACACACCTGAATTAGGGGCTACTCTCCAAACCACATAAAGAAATTACAACTCAGTGGAACAAATAAGCCCTAACCCTAACAATCCCAAATTTTTAAAAAAGGGGCTGAGACCAAGAATATGTTTTTTAAAAGCGGTTTACTCAAATGGCCAGTGGGTATAGAAAAAAAATGCTAAATGTCACTGTTAGGAACACGCAAATCAAAACCACGAAGAGATATCATCTCTCAACTGCTAAGAGAAGTTTTATCAAAAAGATAAGGATAAGGATGTGGAGAAACTGGAATCCATTTGCACCACTAGCAGGAAAGGAACGTGGTACAGGGTTAGGGAAAACTGCATGGGTGCTACAAGAACACACTGTTTCATGGTCCCACAATCTCACTTCTTGGCATTCATCCAAAATTAAAATTATATTCCCAAAGAAATATATACACTCCGAGGCTCATTTCAGTACTGTTCACAACAGCTAGTGAATGGAATCAACTTAAATGTTCACCAGTGGATGAGGAGATAAAGATGTGGTGTACATGTACAAAAGGAACGTCCCTCGGCCTTTAGAAGGAAACCCTTCAATGTGCAAAAACATGGGTGACTCTTGGTGTGGGAGGCAAAATGAAATAGGCTTGCCATAGAACAACAAACAATTCTCCTTCTAAAACGTTTTCTTGATCTGCAATAGTCAAGTTCATAGATCCAGAAGTGGCGTGCTGATTAGCGGTTGGGAGGAGAGAGAGAGTTACTAGTCCATGGGTATAGTGTTAGTGGAGATGCAGTTGCTAGTGCTCTGGAGACTGGCCGAGTGGCACTGCACTCAGCACCAGTGTTGTGTGCTTACTTACACACTCATGGAAAACGGACAGCGTAGCCCTCGGGCTGAGTGTTCTGACCAGCCGTCATTAAAAACCCGCCTTAGCTGCTCCCAGGACCCACGAAGCTTCTCCTTAAATGTCGAAGCTCAGGGAGGCACCTCCTCTCCAGTTTTGTTACTTTCACGGAGTCCTGCCAGGAGAAGGAGAGGTGTGCCCACATACCCCATGCATTCCCAGGGTCTTGCTGCTCCTTCTGGCTATTCTGAATCTCATTTGACTCAGAGTGAAAAAAAAAAAAAATCCCTTAGGTCACGTGGTTCAGCTCTCAGGAGCTCAAGTGTCTGTAGAATGCATCCTTCTCCTTTTTCAATCTCATTTATTCATTCTCCTCCACGTTAAATGCTCATCTCCATCGAGGGTATGCCTTAATTAAACGAGAAACACATGAAATGGAAAAATCAGGCTCCCAAAAAGAGACGGAAAAGTACCCAAATACACACATATAAAATTATACATTCTATGGATATTTTTTTATCACAGAGATGCATGCTCATTAAAAATTAAAACAAAGAAGCAGGTCAAAGGATTTCAAGATTCACCATCAGTTATTAACACCACGAGCCCTATGAAGTCTGTTCTTCCAGCCCATAAGGAAGGGAAGCTTGTATGTGGGTATTTTCATATTTACAAAACTGGGATAATGCTTTGTTATAGTGTGAATTTAAATCTGTTTTTTTTCACATGACAACATATAAATTAATAGTCTTATAACAATTCTTTCTTAAAGCTTTATGCCCTATTCTTCTTTCTTCTTAAAAACATACTTTGAAATATTTTTAACTGAGTAGCAATTGATAAACACAAGTGTAGAGAGATTTTCCCTCCTTGTGTTTCTTTTCCCCTGCTAAGAGAGATGTTTATATGTTAACATTGCTCTTCTCTAGGCAATATCTTGGTGCAAGGAAATAAATCTGTCAACTGGTCCCATGGGTTATATTTAAAAACAGAATCTCCTCATGTTTCTATCATGACACAGAGACTGTCCACCTATTTGCCCACACCTACTAGACATGGTCTTCCTATCT